ATAAAAGTGATATATCACAGAAATAGTACACACAGTTCCAGTTTGTGAAGTGGACATACCCTAACAAAAATTACTATAATTAATACATTGATTTACCAGGAATCTTACTAAAAATTAGATATAATTATCTTAAATTAATAGTTAAGATATTTTGATTTACTATAATGAAAAGGAAAATCACTGTGTTTGTATTAGTTAACTGTAGAAAATTTGATTAACTATAGTGAAAACGTTGACTCACTGCATGTATAGTTAACTATAGTGACATATAGCTAACCATAATACGTTTTGTCAAAATGACCCCAAACGTTGAGAGATTTAGGTACCGAGAAGTAGCAAGCTTCCCGTACCGATCAGTGAGAACCACAGGTAGCTTTTTTTTTTAATTGAGAAAGACTATTCTGGTTAATAAAATGATTTAATAGACACTTATTTTAATACATGTAATGTAATATAACCAGATAACCTCTTTGTAAGTTTAGTAAAATACAATTCAAATGTACATAATAACAAAGGCTGAAATGAAAAAAAAAATAAAAAAGAAGTAAGAAAACACTTATTTTTTGTAATTTTGTAAAATTCAATAAATTTTATTATTTATTTTTTTTTTTACATCTGTTAGATGTTTTTCGTTATACAGAAAATCATCGCCAGATATAGACACGATACTCATATTTACAGCATTTTACTGTATCCCTGTTCAATTTATTTTTTGTAAGCATGCTTTCCATAAATGCACATTCGTTTAATTGCTCCTTCCCAATCTGGTGTCTGCATTTCATTCTTATCTGTTACATAATCAAGGCATTCTAAGGTGATCAAATAAGGACACGTGGATAAAGTTCAGAGGTCATATCCCTGGATTTAACTGATATGACTTTTATTGATTGAACAATGGTAAACTACTATCTAAGTATAACGTTCAAAATATCCCATTTATTTACTATCATCAGTCATTTAATATAATGTACTCATTTTCAAGCATTAAGAAAGGAAATGAGACAAAACTTTATTACTTTTAAGTTATCTTTTTTTATTTTTACACACGTCTACATATTGATTTATTTCAGATGAAATATACAACTTGCTTATTGAAATGGTTGAGTCGTCAAAATTCCAAATTTATGACAGAATGTTGTGTTAAACTGCTAAAACTACATTTTGAAAATGTTCATAATTAATTTATACATACCAGAGTTAAAAAGGAGGCAATGTATGCTACTGTCAATATAAATTTGCTTTTAAAGATTGGATCTTTCTTCATTTTAAGGTAAGTCACTCGTCAGCTTTTTAGAAAAGTTCACGCAGAACCTCTAACTTCAAAAATATTTATTAAAATTCAATTTTTATAAAATAATTATATTCAACGATGTATATTTTTTAACAATCAAAGAAAAAACTGCTCAAAAATCTTCAAAGAAGCAAGATTTATGAGGGACTATTTCTCGTGGTGGAAGGATATTTAGCAGATAATTCTGCAAATCTGCACATTTATTAAATTTTATATCTTGGAACTTTAGTCTCACATACTTTTACTCAGAGAATATTTTCGGTTATGATATTGCTAGGAATATTTGATATAGGTCTTAATTTAAATTTTTAGAATAAGTTTTAGATCTTCCTTCAACAAACTTTGCCAAAAACTGGAGATATATCAAAGAAGTCAAGATAAATTTTACACCATTTTTTGCCTGAAAATCACATATTTTGTCCAATATTTCAAAATTAACATCACTGACCCCAACTTTTTCTTTCATTATTTTAAACTTCTCGATACTTATGACTGATCAGCGCTTAAGTCATACAAAGCTTGATATAAGAAAATATTATATTGCCTATTTATTTTTCTAATACCCAAAATATGTTATATCTTAGTGCAAAAAGGTCACATAATTATTTACGCGCATTAATTTGAAAGATTTGATCAATGATAAATATTATTCAAACTATTTTACGTAAGTTAAGAATAAATTTGTTGCCATGGTTACAGCTGAAAAAATATAATAAGAGATAATTGTATAAAAGTAATAAATTAAGGGGTTAAAATTTAAGTGCAAATAGGTCAACTTAAATTTACCATACATCAGTACGATGCACACTGACCCCCTATTTTCTCTGCGATTTTGAGTCACACTTTATGTGTACTTATCCAAAATATACTTCTCAAAAAATCCTTGATATAAGAAATTTGAGGAGTGACTAACCTTAAGCCAACATTTCCCTCCATCTTGTGTTGATTCCGAAAGTTCATCTGTATGTTCCATGCTTCTGGTCTTTACTTCCTTCACCAAGGTATCATTATGTCCTAGATCATTAGTGTGAAAGATATTCATGGTAAAGTACAAAGTTTAAAATTTCTAGTTTTAGGGGGAAGAAAACAAAACAAAATAATTTAAAACCCATTTTTAAAAATGCTGATGCGTGGAGACATAAAACGCTTTATATGTATGAAAGCAACGTCTTCTAATCACTGACATTCAGCATATGTTTCATATCTATGAAGTTTGTTATTGGAAAACTAATATCATTTTCTTTTGCTAAAAAGAATCAAGTCTTCTAAAAGTTTTCCACGTCTTTCTCTCCTGCACTCCAAGGGTCTTTATCAGTAATATTGTAAATGTTCGAACTTCGTCAATTAAACGATCAAAAGAAGGCTGTGTCTGTTAACATTTAATAAATAGAGATATACAAAACATTTATTATTGCAGAAGCCCACATAATGTCAAAAAGAATTATATATATTTTTTTTAAACTGGCATCTCAAATAGTTCGATTTACCTGTATTTCAAATACCAAGGTTAAATGTGATCCATTTCCACACTCCATATCAAGCACTGGACATAGACCGGATCACGAATGACTGTAAGGAACAATGGAGGATCAAAATATGTTATAAACACGAAAACAAAAGAAACAGGAGAGGAAACAGAACTTGACCAAAAACTGTAAACAGAATCGCGGGAGGATCTACAAATGTAAGAAACCTCAACTCTAAATTGGAGGATCCATGAAATGTAACAAATGTAGGTACATTGGGGGATCAAAAAATGTAACAAAGAATAATTGAAAGTAACATGGGAGGATCCAAAAACTTCTTAAAGACTAATTAAGGAAAGTAAACAGGATGTGAAAAAAATCACAAACTCAAAATTAAAAGAATTTGCGAGGATCTAAAGATCTCCTTTTCAAAGATACTGCGCAAAACTAGCCTGTTTTTCTTTTTTTTTTTTTTTTTTTTTTTTTAGAAACACGTACTATTATCACTAATAATGAAGCAGTATACATCTCAAGAAATAAGTAACTTTTTACATATCATAAGTGTGTGATGACTGATACATATTTAATATCCATTGATGCATATAATTACATATTATAATCTTCTGCACACTGTAACAAGATCCGACACATGAAATTATATTAGTAATTTTTGAAATGAAATTTTTATTAAGTTCTTTTATGAAAAACAAAAGTATATTTAACTTCCAATTATTTTTTTTGAAATATATTTTTTTTAAGTTCATAGATATTTTCCAACAAATAAGAATTATGAATCGGTAATTTCCCAATGATATGTGCATGAATGACAGCAAATATTCTAGAATTAATGTTAACAACATAATTTGGAAAAATATTTAAAATGCACGTACATGTAATAATTATCGAAATTAAATTCATTAGATAATAGAAAATGCCCTTTGACAACTGGATAAAAATGAAATTGTTCATCTATTCATACACGTATGTGTATCTTTTATGGTGATGATAAAGTCAAATTAAATTAAAAAAAAATCACTATAAACTATATATTTGTAAATATTCATGAATCCGCTTTTTAGGACTTGGTATTGTAATCACATTTTAAACGTCCCGTTTATATGTACATATGTAACAGTACTATACATAAAATGTATATATCGAGTCTGTAGAGACTGGGTATATAAATTACTTTGCATAAAAGATGTAATCTTCGAAAAACAAACCATCGTTATGATTATTGTACGTTATAATAATTATAACTATTGAACTATTATAACTATTGATTAAATTATAGAATTATATTTAATGCTAGTTTAACATTGCAACTAATAGCATTCAAACATTTCAAATCTTTAACATATAATTTATTAATAGTACTAATCTTGTATTGACCAGTGCCCGATCGTGCCCTTTAAATGTTTTGTTATTATTTGAGGCCAAGCGTACTGTTTGAGTAATCAGTCGGTTGGAAGATTTAAATAGCTCATAATCACAGGCACCAGTGTAAAAATAAATTAAAATTAACACATGTAAATATGAAACTGGTCACTGAGTGTGCCGTGTGGCTGTGTAATTGTCTGTGAGGCTCGGCATTGTAAACAGCGAGAAAAAGATCCATGCAATAAAACGGACACAAAAAAACAATGCATTGCAATACATTCAAGGAGAATAAAGAATGGACTGTACTTTATTCTCTGAATAACGGAAAGAGGTTAGTTTAACAATTACTATTCTTCTTGACTTGAGCATGCGCTGTATACTAAACATGATATATGTATAAGGCTTTGGAATTATTATCCCTTGCTAAGGTCATTGTAGTTAAAATCACTACCCCTTTTCAATGATCAACTCTTTTTTCATATGGTGTTCCTAGTTTAAAAAAAAAAAATTCAGGTTTGGTATAAACTAACGACAAGCTTATGTACTTTGTGCATTATTTTTTTCAGATTACAGATTAAAACTTTATTCCTTACATTAAGAAAACACAAACAGGACCTTCAGCAAACTGATAAACACTCAAAGTTTCGTAATTCTATTTTTAAATTATGTGAAAGCTGGAGGACACTATTAGTAGTGGATCCAGGAGTTTTAAAAAAGGGTGGCCTGACCAATTTTTGATCAACATTTTTTTTCATCTTTCAAACATAGAAAACATTTTAAGAAGATCAATCACACTATTTTGATACGTATATGAACACTATTCTTTGATATTCTTACAGTATATATTGACCATTTCAATAAAGATGCAAAATGCTGACGATTCTGATCTCACTTACACAAAGTCAGACCGCATTGATCGTTCCAAGGACAAAGGTTTAACTATTTCCTGGACCACTTTGAAGCAGGATAAATTATTTAGGAAGAAATTCATACTGACTCTGGCCTACTTTGCGTCGTATTTTGCTGAAGTAAGTTTTTTTTCTCTTTCTGATAGTTTTTTCAGGAGAAAAGTCGTTGACATTAAGGCAAATTTTCCACATCTTAACTTGTTCAACATTTTATTTTATTTTTTCAAAATGCTTTATATTGGAAAATTTTATACACACAAAAGAACAAAAAATACGCACACAAACACACATCACACGCACTCTGTGCACCTTTCCTCCAATACCAGCTGTTTGTAATTACATCTAAAGTGATAATTAGAATTTTTTGTGTATGACAAATCAAATTAAACATTGTCTATTTACTACACATTTTCGTTTAACAATGAAAATTGCATTCACAATATTTTTAAAAATTTTTTTTAAAACTTAAAAGTGTTAATTGCTTTAGGTATTGTACATTGAGTTGTGAGTAATACAAGTACTTTTTTTTCCTAACAAGATAAGAAAATTTTCTTAACAACTTCCTTCGATATTACCCAGCATCACCTTTTGTTTATAAATTACATAATCATTTTCAAAAGCTTGATACCAATTTTTAAAATCTTTCCAACAGATGGTTACATGTATTCTATCATAAAAAAAGATAAATCAACGTGTCTGGATCTGTTTTACAGAAAGAACAAAAATTATTTTCAGCAATTTTTATGTTGTGAATAAAAGAATGTGTGGCAAGGAGCCCCAAAAGAATTTTATATTGAAAGTAAATTATTTTGGTGTACTTTGTGCAAATTGATGCATTGCGAATGGAAAATTGAAAGTCTTTTTCTGGTATAAGTTCATTTAGATAAATCTCCCATTTTAACTTTTTGAATTCTAGTGCCACAAAATTCTTATCTTTTTATAATTTTATACACAAGTTTTGTACCTGTCACAAACATCATTGTTCAACATTTTAACATTGCCAGTTTTTTTTTCTCAGGGATGGATCGAAGGTCAGTTTGGACCAACTTTTCCCGACCTTTTATTCCTTACAAACACGTCTCTGAAAAAGGGATCCTTATTCTTCAACATGTACACGGCAGGATTTCTTCTGGGCTGTGTAATCATGGGTTTACTGTATGATAAAAGAGTTACAGACAGAAACCTACTGATGTTTGTTACGACACTAGGATTCGGCATCATAAACGCAGTTATACCATGGTTTGGGTTATATGAGATCATGGTTATCTTACATATACTAAAAGGAATGTTTGGTGGCGGTTTGGATACGTGTAAGTATTTTGTATCATCACGTGTGTGATCGGTAGGTAGGGGATGCTTACTCCTCCGCGGCACCTGATCCAACTCCTAATGTTTTAGAGGTCCGTATTTGCCTTACATCTACTCCTGATTTGAATTGTTAAATAGGCTTTTGAGCTCATTTACTGCTCATTATCTCCATACCATTCTTAACAATTAACTCCATTCCATTGGGAGGTAAAATGATACTTACTACCTTTACTTGCTTGGTATCTTTTATTGGTTCAAAAGTAAATATTACTTTCCAACTTCAAATTTGATCAACAATTTAAATTTGTTAATCGTGTAATTTCAAACATTTAAAAATTGCTTTTATAGCTACATAGGTGTGATATATATAATAGGGAGTTTATATAAAGAATTCCTAATTTTCTTTTTATTCCTGACAGGTGCAAACGCAGCTCTAATGACCACGTGGGGAAATAAAGGTGACATATTCTTCAATGTATTACATTTTTCCTTTGCTTTTGGAGGAATTCTGTCTCCGGTGTCTTCAGCACCCTACGTTATGTCACAAAATGACGTCAGCAGCCTCGATTTCAAAGTTAATTTATGCACTTCATATAATAATACGTATAATCCAACATTTGATCCAGATGAAAACAATTTTAGTGACGTTTCATGTGGTACAACTATAGGAATACAACAAAACTCAAAAATATTTATTCCATATTCCATTTCAACTGGTCTGTGTGTCTTGACTGCAATCCCCTTTCTTCTTTTCTTTGCAATGTCTTTGCAAAAAATTTTAGATAGAGAAAAAGCAAAAGAGGAAATTGAACATACCAAGAGGTCACAAAAACGGTTACGATTGATGGGATTTGTCAATATGGCCGTCTATGTGGGAGTTTACTATGGAATAGTGGACACATTTGCAGGTTTCCTTACAACATTTGTTGTGTCAGAATTAAAATGGACGAATTCTGAAGGGAACTACATTACCTCAGGACACTGGACATTGTTTGCCGCGGCACGTTTTCTTGGAATATTCCTAGTTGACTGCATAAGTCCAGCAAAAATGATATTCATCTACAACTTATTGATGCTGGTCTCTACTTTTGTTTTTTTAATCACGTCACTGTATGACGTAACAATAGGAGTTTGGTTCTCTGCGTGCCTTCTAGGATTCGCTCTATCCGTGATTTTTCCTGCAGTGGTCATGTGGACAGAAACTAAATTTGTACGCGTGACCGGAAAGATAGCGTCCATTTTTCTAGTTGCTGCTTCTGTCGGAAGTTCGATTAATCCCCCAATTCTTGGAATTTTAATGGAAAACTTTACACCCATGTGGTTCTGTTATCTGTTATTCGCAGAAACAGTTTTTATGATGGTGTTGTATTTCACGGGTTTGTTAATCTCTAGAAGAATTATGACTAAAGTTCCTAGCTTGGCGGATCAAGACCTTACTGTTAACATATGTGAACAATCTGAGGGATGATTAAATATACCTGTACCCTAGTCTTTGAAATATTTTTACACTAAAATGTATATTCTATGTTTTTATTAATTAAGGAAGTACCTTTCTCATGTTTCATGTTGTATAAAAAAAGAAACAGAACACTGCCATTGATAGAATTTATTCAATTTTATTTTGTATCAATCAAAAACAGTTTTTCTTCCACCCAGTTTTACTTTTGATCACAAGAAGTAAAAAAATTACATACTGCACATGTATAAGGAATTAAATCAATCATATTTCTATATATTACTTTTTAACAGATTACTTAGATTATAACATAGAAATTAATTTATAAACAAATTAATTCCTCAACAAATCTGAAAATTCAGAAATATAATACATATCTTTATCCTAAAATACATAATAATTTTAGGATAAATCAACCCGTTATGACACTGAAAGTAATATAGTCCCTACTCTACAATACATGGAGACAATGAACAATTCAAGCTTCAAAATCCCAAAAACAATATAAAATAAAAATAG